GCTTTGGCGGCGGCCGGGGGGCTGGCGGCGAGGGCGCCGGGGGCAGCTTCGGCTCCTCCGAAGGCCGGGGCTCCAGCATCGGGGGCGCCTCGGGCTCCGGGGACACCAAGACCACCAGCGGCAGCTCCAGCGTGAAGTTCGCGTCCACCAGCTATTCCCGAATGGTCAGATGAAGCGCTGGCCTCGAGTTAGCTCTCCCTCTCCCTCACCACCAGAAGCGCTGGGCCAGGCCGAGGTGGACTGCTCCAGCCTTGGAGGAGAAAGAGCTATGGTTACTTGCGTGGGGCCATCGTCCTCCAGCTCTCCCCTTCTGCTCTGCTTCCTGAAGGACTTTAGCTCAGTGGCACACTCAGTCCCTGGCTATGCCCCTGCTTTGTGATGCTCCGAAGATCAGCCACCACCACCACACTCCCGCGCGTCCCCAAGCCGGCTGAGGGCTGGCGAGCCCCGGCTTCCTTCCCCTGCACCCAGCCCCCTTCTCGCCCCACTTCCCCCAGCCAGTTCTGCTGCTTGGTGATGCACAAGGTGGAAGCACATTCTCCCGGAGAGTCTCAAACTCCCGTTTCTTTGTGTTGCTACAATAAACCGCATTTGCAATTCTCTGAACCTTCATGTCTTTGTTCATGCATGGCAATGCCTTGGATGGTGGGATAGCACCCCGGGGCGTATCGGGGACACACCGGCAGGAGGGGTCAGTGGGGAAACGTTTAACTTTAGACATTGGACGTTTCATTAGAAGTTCCTTCCCAGAGGGTGCAGATGTCATGGAGAAATGGGGAGACTGGGATGGAAGGTCTGATTCATTGAGCAGAATTTCTTGAAAAGGGCAGAGAGCGCTCAGGCTGGGAGGGAGGAGTTTGGCATTGATACCCTGGGCATGGAACGCACAGAAGAGTAGCTGATGATGTGGGACAGCCTGTGACGAAGGGGCGTGGGTCACACAGGGTCCCCACGCAGACCTGGGCTTGGGCATTCAAGAACCAGGGGAGGTGAGGAGTGCTGGCTTCACTTACCGCTGTTGAGGCCACCACCCAGTGTCCGCTTGACCTCGGAAGTTCCCATGTGGACATGCATGTCCCCTACTTGTGAAGCAGGGCAGCAAGAGTTCAGTGGTCAGAGCAGGGACATGCTGGCTTGCCTCTTACCACCACCTTTTACTAGCCCTGTGATGATAGGCAAGTAACGGCCTCTCTGCGGCTCAGCTTTAATAGCTCTGGGATGGAAATAACAGTTTCCTCATGGGCCTTATTGTGAGGCATGAATAGGATGATGAATGGACACAGCTCGGCACATAGCAGACACTCAGCGACTGTCGGCTGTATGGATAGTGGCATGGTGCTGCTTGGAGACCGCAGTCAGCTCTTGCTCTAAGAAGCTAATGATTAGCACCTGCCCAGTAGTTCCAGGACCATGAAAAGCTCAGTTTACTTAGACTTCAAGTAGGAGACGTCTCTCTAGCTCCAGTGTCAACGGGGGGAATCCAGGCGGGAGGGAGGGCTGATGGTCAACAAGAACATAAGAAAGAACCACTTGTGAGCTCTGTTCCTCTGCCCATGCTGCACTTTTCCAGAGCTCCTTTGTGCCTGGACTGATGTGAGAATCTCGAAAGCATTATGGTGGACAGAAAGGACAAGGAACTTAGGTTCAGAGAACTTGGATCAATCCATGTGGCAGCTCAGGGGGCAGGCAAAAGAGAACAATCCCCAGCTCCTTGACTGGGTTCTCGGACACACGAACGGACCACGCTGAGTCTCAAGTATTTGGTAGGTGAAGTGGGCATGAGAACATTTGCCTCGACACATCAAAAGGAGAAAAAATGTATAACTAGAAATTGTTTCTGAGAATGGTTGAATGTGAAATACAGAAGGAGTTGCATGAGGCTGAAAGGAGCGACGAAGCAGAAGGCGCAGCCTGCAGGCTCCGAGGCGGGGAGCATGTGGGTGCGGTCACCGGGGCCCAGCGCTGTAGGGAGTTACGGGCTGTTTTGATGGTGCGGCCATGTTGAATTTGCTCCCGAAGATTGATAATTATGCACAAACACACTGTGTGAATCACAATGTCCTGGTTTTAGTTTGTGGAGAGCCTATATTTTATGGGACTAAAATGCCAGTTTTCCTGTCCTGCTTCTAAGCTATCTAGGAAACTGAACTGGCTTTACAATGATGGAAGCGGATTGGCCTGGAGGGAGACGACGTTTCTCTCCTCCATGGCAGCAAAGGACTCTGGGGCTGCCAGATACAGTCTTTGGACCCTGCTGAGTGAAACTGCTGGAGAGAGAATTGGGGAACTCGAAATGCCTGGTATAGACGTGCGGACTAGCCACACTCTTTTTAGATTATGACTTAATTTTCTCATTTCCTTCTTAGGTTATAACTTCCATTAATCACAGCTCAGTATTCGGAATGGCTGTGCTCATGTTGTTGGGATTTAAGTTTTCTTGGCATGTTCACGTATAGACAGAGAACGATAAAATTTACAGTTAAAATTATCAATATTTGTAAAGTCACAGGACTAAATGAAAACCCGTGTAAGTCAGTATATAGCTAAATTGAGTCCTGGGTCTAGATCCACGGGTCTCCCTCCCAGTGTCTCGTCTGGAAGGACAGACTCCGTCCCTCGGCTCCTCGGGGGCTCCCTGTGACCATCCTTCCTTGGATGGCCACCCTGTCGCAGCCGTGCTCCATGGCCAGTCTGCCTCCTCTGGCCCTCTCTAATAGAATCCTGAGGTTCCTCTAACTCGAGAGAAAAGTGGACACCCCAGCCTTCGTCCTCCTCACACGCGAAACGCCTCTCCCGTAATCCAGGCCCTAGGCGACCACCGGTGTCCCTGGGTACACACAGGACCCAGCAACTCTGCAGTCCTGGCTCCTCAGAGCCTGGCCCTGCTGGGCTCAAAGGTGCCACCCCCTCTCCTTCCCTGGGGAAGGGTCTTCCTCGGGAGAGAATTCCGAAAGGTGATCTTGAACCAGCAGCTGTGGTTTTGTACCTATGAACCTGAGACTACGTGTAGAACTTTGGGGACCCCCACCTCCTCCCAGGGCGGACGCCATGGTCACGGAGACCCTCTTCGGGGCTCTTGGCGGGGCTGAGGGTCTCATGCAGCTTCCCTTTCTCCTCTTCCTCCCCCTCTCTCTTCTTTCTCTCCCCCTCTCTTACTTCTCTCTCCCTCGCCCCTCCGCAGGCCCTCCCCCCTCCCTCTGTCTCCCCTCTCCCTCTCTCTCTGTTGTGAACAGGCCATATTCCTGGATTATGTCACTGTTTTCATTCACCTGTATACATACATATATACATATACATATATATATATATATATATATTGCCTTTAGACATTTATTCTAATTCTAAAAAGAGAGACTCAACAACAGAACCCCAAGATCCCTCTGTCACCCCACAAAGACAGAGATGAACCAGGAAAGTGCAGGCACAGGAGCAGCCCCTAGGGATGGGGAGGGGCCAGGTGTCCTGGGAACTGAGAGGAAGCAGTTCCGGGAAGCAACCGGAAGAGAAGCCCAGTGTGAGCACAGGCTCCTGAGAGTTGGGAAGACCCTAGAAATGTGGTCAGGATTTGGGTGGAGGAGGGTGAGCGGATGCTTCTCCCTGTGCATCACAGAAGGGGCAGTCACGGGGTGCAGGAAGTGGCCGCTGGGCACGGGCAGCCGGAGAGGGACCGATGGCGTCTGGAAGGAGGTTTCTTGGGCCACCCACAGCTGGCTGGAGTCTTGTGCCAGACACCAGGGAGGGTAAGGATACCCAGGGGACATCTGGGAGGTGGCAGCCATTGCTGGGTGTTTGTTGCAGGGATGGAGGCCCCGTTGCTGTGCGTCACTGTGCCCGCCCCTCCCGCGGCTGGGGAGGGAAGTGGCACTCCCTGGCAGGCCGCGCTGGAAAATGGCGCAGTCAACTTGTGACCTTCCCAGGTCTGTGCTGGGTTACTCCCGCCCCTCCCTGGTGCCCACACCCAGTTTCCAATCTGTCAATAGGCCCTGCAGTTTCTCTCTAGGCAGCATGCAGCGTCCTCTGCTGGGAGCCGGCTCCCTCCACACCCGCCAGGCCTGTATTGGTCCTGTTGCTGCAGCCTGGCAGCCTCGGGTCTGAGAGAGAGCGCTCGTTTCAGAAAGCTTCCTGAGGAAAACTGGAAAAGACTTCTCGGTCTGTTCTCCTGATCCTCAAGACATAAGAAAGATGCTGTGTTTCCCGATACAGAGGTTGATGAGGGAGAACTTTCTCGATGGTGGGAGAAAGGTCTCTCCGCTGGGTGTTGAGGGCAGCTCAGAGCTTTGGAGAGTTCTGAGCATTGGAGGAGGGACTCGCTGAGAAGCTACAGTGAGCTCAAGGGCAAGAAACGGGGGCGCACAAGGGAGTTGAAGGGAGACAGACGTGACCACGGGCGCGTGACAGCCCCTTCCCTGAAGATGGCCGCCCACCATCCCAGCGTGGGCCGCCCCTGGGCACCCTGACCGGAGACGCCACAGGCTGGCCTGTGCCCCGGTGGGTGACCCTGATAGAAGCACCCCCACCTCGCGACGCCCCAGTTGCCTCCTCTCTCCACAGCCCTCCCCGTGCTCCACAGTCTTCCTTTTTTCTTTTCCTCCCCCAAGTCTCAGCTTCAACCCCCCAGCACCGTTTTTGACCAGTCCTTTTTTTTTTTTTTTAAAGATTTATTTATTTTTATTCATACAGAACTGGGGTACAGGCCAGAGATGCGGAGGGTGAGAGGCTTCACCAGAGACAGAGTGGGGAGCAGAACAGGCAGATCGAGGAAGTACACTGCTGAGGGGAGCAGGGGGCGGGTCAGGAGAGGTCTGCCACGTCATGTGGTCACCTCCGGGGCAGGCAGGGATCGAACTCATGTGGAAGTGGCTTAAGCTCAGTGCTGTGCTTTAACCTGCTGTGCCACCAGGGAGGACCCAGACCAGTCCTTTTAAAAAGTGTTGGCGTTCCATCTTGGTCTGAGTTGATCTGACAGGTGATAGGGAGAATATTTTTGTTTGTTCAGTTGAGAAAATTCTAGAATGCAGCCCTTGCACAGAGGTTGTGCGGGCAGGGCGCCCCTGGGACTGGGACTCCAGGGCAACCATCTCGCCCCGCCTGTAGCTCAAGTCCTTCATTAACGTCAATTATTTGGAAGATACAAGGAGTGCGGGCCAGGGCAGGTCCCAGGCTTAGCTCTCTGGACCCGGCAACCTGTACACGTTCCCGCCCCCACATTCCAGTTGTATGAAATGAGGTAGCTGGTTAGTCCCTTTGGTTATCGGTCTTAAGTTTCTCCTGTCGTCGTCATCGGTGACTCCCTTAAGCTCTTGGTGGAGCTGGGGAAGGTTCTGGGCAAGTGCACTACCTCAGTTTCCCTGTAGAGGGTCCTGTCGTTGAAACTATCTTTTGTAACCTTTGTAGTCAAGACAGTGGAGTCAACTCCCGGGGTGCGCCTGGGATTAGAGAAACCCCTCTGGGCTCCAGGGCTGCACCCTGTGTTTGCCTTCCTTTTCTTCGCTAATCCCTTCTCTTGGCTCCATAGTGCATAAACACGGTTTCCATGGTGAGGGCACCAGGCTTCGGGCCTCTTGTGACCTGCCACGTGCCACCCAGGAGCTGTGCTACCT